CCTAGCAGGTTGGTCCAAGGAACTATATGTAGATAAGACCAGTATTTTTAGTTTAACCTTGAAAGGAAATCTAACTGTATGTAAAGGTCACAAGCAGAGAATGTTACCAAAGACAAAGGTTCTGGTGGGTTGGAAGGGGAGCAATCACTTGCAGCACCACACTCAAGTACACCAAAAGGAATTTTCTTAGTAAATCTCCACTACAGTTATTGTTGAATTGAATTTAAACTTTGAAAGTATTTTTTATTTTCCTTTTCTTTTTTTAAGCATTGATAGAAAGTCTAGCATGAATTAAAATAATTTGCATTTTTTTTCATAAAAATAATGTACCTAAATCCATTTCACCTGAATGTCTTGGCGTTAAATCAATGTTAACTGTCTGTTTCTTCTTATTAAGATGTTTTCTCAAGAGTCTCAAATTGGTCAAATAATGAAATACTCCTTTCAATTCAAATCATCCCAGACCACACCACATGGTATCTAGTAGCTTAAGGACTAGGCACAATTATCCTGTTCATGTGAGGTTTTATAAAGTAGAGATTTCCTATCTTTATTCTTCAGCTCTGCAAATGTAACAAATTTATCATCTTGTTCTATCTTCTAATTGGGAGAATATTCCAAAGAGAATATTCCATTTATCTTCAACTTTTGAAATCTTCTGTTTAGAGCTGATATAGTTCCCTGCTTTAGTCTAAGGGTTGAAAATGGAGGACCCTTGTCCTTGAAGTGGATAAGTGCAGTTTGTTAAACTGATTAAAAAAGGTAGAGTTCAGCCTGGCCAGTGTGGCTCAGTGGTTGACTGTTGACCTATGAACCAGGAGGTCATGGTTCAATTCACGGTCAGGGCACATGTCCGGGTTGCTCAATCCCCACTAGGGGGTGTGCAGGAGGAAGCCGTTCAATGATGGCCTCTCATCATTTTTGTTTCTATCTCTCTCTCCCTCTCCCCTCCTCTCTGAAATCAATGAAAATATACTTTTTAAAAAGTAGAGTTCAGAGAGGCTTCCATATGTGGACCTAAGATAAATAGTATTAATATTTCAGTAATTATAATTCATTGAGTTTCATTATTTCCTCTCTACATTTGACAAGAGTTGTATTAAGGGATGTTATTTCCATATTCAGAGAGCATAACACTGGGTGAGGCCCAGCAGGAAACATGGCCGGGAGGAAGCCGTAAACATCCATTCATGGGGACAGGGCTACCAGATACTCCTTGGTCCAGCAGCCCCATGACCAGTGAGATGCTGCTGCTGGGTCTTCTCAGGCAGCAGGAAAGATTCAAGGAAAGAGGACAAAACTGGCTGAAGTGTAAGTTGTACAAGGCGTGTAAGCTGAAGGAGATCAAAGCCTGTACTCGCTGCCTGTAGAGTGGGAAGCTGTACTGTCTACTAGAAGCTCAACAGTTTCAGTGGCTGAAACTGGACGGAACTGTTAGGAGTTGAAGGGAGATTAGGAGCCACAGGGTGGAAATTCCATTTCATGGATGAGGAAAATAAGGGCAAATGAGGTGATGTGATCTGTGCAAGAGCCACGTGGAGAACCCAACCTCAGGACACTTAACTACACGGATGAGAAAGCAGGAAGCCCATGTGGGAAGTAGTTGTGGCAAATGCTACACCTGAGAAATAAAAAGATTTTTAAAATCTATGCCTTGTCTCTACCTACGCAGAATACAGGTAGGTGTATAGTGCCTACATGAGAAGGGTCTTCTCAACTCCTTAGTTGTGTCTTCCAAATCCTCTGACAATACTCCTCCCTTCTGTGGTAAGTTTTCTTGTAGCCCCTACTGGCAGGTATCACCTGGAAATTCTGCCCATGGCTTTCTGGTTGATACCTTTTTGGTTAATTAAATTACCTGTAGTACAAATTTATCTCTAGTCCCAGCTCAACGTACTGGTCATGATGCTCATGTCTATTATTCCCAGCTCTGGTCTGGCTCTTACCTCACATTTCCAACTACAGAACAGGCCATGTCTTCCTGGATGCCCTGGAATTTCTTGGCCAGAATGAACTCACTGCTGCTTCCAGACCCGCTGCTGTTTTAGCCAACTACTCTGCACCTGAAGTACTGTTTCTGATCTCATTGACCCAGTTCTGGACTTTAGTGGCTCAGACTACAGCAGTATCATTCTAGCTTTCCTGCTTTCAAAACCCTTCAATGGTTTCCTATTAGCCCCCCCCCCCAAATAAAACCCAAACATCTTAACCTGGTCTTTAAGGTCCTCTTGTGTTGGGTAACAATTCAACCAATATTTATTGAGTACCAACTGGATGCCATTCACTGTGCTAATGCTGGAGACATGGCAGCTTAATAGGACACAACCCCTGCCCAAACTGAACATTCCACTATAGGAGAGGCATGTAGCATAGCAAACAATCACATATATCAGTGTGTGTGTGTGTGTGTGTGTGTGTGTGTGTGTGTGCATGCGCATGCGCATGTGCATTAGAGGCCATGGCAGAATTAGGGAAAGCTCTGGGATAAAAGAGGAAGAGTACCTAACCCAGACTGACCTGGAGAGAGGTGGAGGAAAGGAAGGCAGGGAAGCAGGGATGGAAGAGAAAGCTTTCCTAGAGAAAGTAGCTGAACTTAAAATATGAAGAGGCAATGAGACCAGTGAGGGAGGGGTAATGAGAATGATGAACAGTGCTTCACACAGAGGATCCAGCTTATGTGGCCTTATCTCTGAACTTCTTTTCCACACAAACTGGCCTACACCTCCTCCTTAACCTTTCCTTACCTCCCTTCCCCCACCCCCGTGAACCTTCCAAAGTCCATCTCCATTGTCATACCCTTGAGCTTCATCTGATCATCCAGCTAGAAATCACCTCTCCTAACCTTCAACTCCCTTAGCCTGTACTTCTGTACCAGTGGCACAGGGCTATTCAGGGAACATTCATGCAATGAATTTCTCCTGCCTCCACCCAACTGTGTCTGTAACACCTCATGTCTGAACTAGTGAATCCGCCTTAGCTGGCCTTCCTGCCTCCTGCCTTTTCCATTCATCAGGTGGGCTTTCTCACTGTCACCCAAATATATTAACCTAATGCTGCTCTAATGACCCAGAATGTTCTCCTTCTCCCCTTGCCACTCAATTCCACCCACCCTTCATGTTGTGAAACAACTCCATTCATGCTCTCAGGAGACCCATCCTACCATATGCTCCCCCTTCTCCAGCATCCTTTGCCTTTAGGTTCAATGCAATCCTGCCTATCTACCTGGACAGCGGGATGCTGTCTGTCTTCCATATGGCCCATGCCAGCAAAGATCTGATAATATAACAAGGAACTACTGACAGGCTTTTGCACATCTTTGCTTCCAGCTTTGAACAGAGATAACCTAGTTTCATCAGTAAAGTTGAGAGGTCACTGGAGAGAAAAATAAATCAGCAACAAAAAGGGGCACCTGAGATAGGATGAGGGAGGAAATTGCAAAGGCTCAGGAAGGGAAGCTTGCCCGAGGTCTAAGTCAAATCAAGTCAAAACACATCACTGTGTTTTCCTTTGTCTTATGTAAATGGTTTCTCTGGAACATGAAAGAGTTAGAGTTCTTTTCCTCCAGATAGGTAGCTTTGGCTCTTTAAGCATAATATCGGAGTTTCCTCTGGAACAGAGGAGGGAAGTATTTCTGCATTCAATGAAAAGAGACTACCTAGGTTCCTTTTACGTTAGTTTTATTTATATGCTGTTTTATAGTTTTCTTATTCTGAAACCAAAAATCCATGATAAAAATCAGTGATTTGTGACAAAGTATTTCAGGTATGTTTGTGTCCCTTATAAAACCTTAAAAAAATGATTCGTTTTTCCAAGATATAAGCCTTTGAGTTTCCATACCACGTATACTTCTGGGAGACACTTCCCCTTGACATTTCCTTATATAAACAATCTGTTGAAATTGGGAAAAGCAGGGGAGATCCTGTTCTCTGTCCTTATCTCACCCCCTGGTATGGGGGACATTTCCTCATGACGGTTAGTGTATTAACTGCTGGCAGGCCTCCAGGAGTAAATAAGGGTTGAACAGAGCTGCAGACTATGCCAAGACCTTACGCAGAATCTTTGCCCTTGGTCAAGGACAGAAGGGTCTCTGCCAGACAAGTTAAATCAAGGAGACTCAACAGAAGGAGGGCCTGTTGGTACCTGAATAACAAGCCCTCAAGAGGCATAAACCCGAGACCGAAGCTCTCCTTTGACATATGGAGTTCCCAAACAGCTACCTTCTACATATCTATCATATTGAAGACACGAAATTAGAAAGTATATTTGAAGTCTTATCTACATCGTTAACATACTTTGCAGGTACCCCTTACTGAACAAAATCTTCCCCTGTGGTCTTAGGAGCCCTCATTTGGACAAATCTTCCTAGTTAGATGAGCCTAACCAGGAAACTTCCAGTTGTATTGTTCAGGATTTCTACAAGCTGCCAGAGGCATTACTTCAAAAAATTCAGGACATCCAAAGGACATCATCTGAGGCCCCCTGAGTTCATTTCTAAACTTGCTAGTAGGATCTCTATCTTGCCCATTCCTTATCTCCTGTTCTCTCATTTTTTCTTGACCTTCTAGTCTAGCTATCTCAGCAGGGCTCCTTCCCCTTACTCAAGCCTGTATTTGTGGTTAACTGAGCAGTTCACAACCTACACTTGCTCTCAAGCACCTCTCTTAAGCCTTCAGACTCAGGAGTAAGGTGGAGAGAAAGAGCTGGGATGCATTTTCTTCCTTATGTGGTGGCAAACTAGATCCCTTAAAATCCAGTGACTGTCGGTCCCAACTGGGTTACTTCTCTGAACTTTAAAAGTTTCCCCTTGATTTGAAAGCTCTTCCTCTTCTCCCCTCATTCTGGCATATGTCAGCAGGATCTTTCCTCCACTGGGCCACTGTCCTTGCGCCCATGGTGACCTACAGCAGAGATTTTTTGGGGCAGGATGAGCAGTGGTAAAGACCGACCACTGATCAACAGATTTGCCAAGCTGAGCACGTGTCCAGAGTCCAGACTCTCACCTGAATGAGGAGATCGATAGCGAAAGTCCTCTTTGGTCAGCAGCAGGAGAGCTTTGCCATTCATTTCAAACGTGTTGCTGTCAATTGGCCTTAAAGAAAACTCATTTTCAGCCCACTTGAGCCACTGGGCTACGTCATCCCTGCTCCAGTAAACTGGCTGCAAGCCTGTTGGAGAGAGAGCAAGGCAGAAAGAAAGAGACAGAAAAAAAAAAGGGTCTTGTCAGTTAGACAGCTGGACTAAAGGGGAGAGATTTCTGAATGGTTAACAACATTAGGTCCCCATGTCTGAAGAGCCCTCTTGTTCAACTCTGAATCCCAGGTTAAAACCCAAGCTTCATAAGTGCCAAAGTGTGATATCAAATGAACTTTATATGTAGAGGCAAATTGAGCAAAACATCCTTTTCTTTGTCTTTAAGGGACCATTGGTCTTAGAGCCCCACCTTTCCTTGCCCTACTCCAGGACCTGTCTGGATTCCAGGGTTGCCAGAAAGGTGCAGCTCTATGGTGGCCTGAGGTACTCATGGGGGCTCAGAGTCATGACCCATGCCAATACACTTCGAAGGGGAACTTAAAATCAGAGCTGATCTGATTGCAACCCAGCGTCCTTTGGAAGTGGGAATGTTCCAGAGCTGAGCTTGACCTCCCAGAGCTGCCAAATAATGAAGTGTTCCCTAAAATTTCTTCCTGGAAGAGTATTTGCTCAGCCTCTGGGAAACCATCAGGCCAGCCTCTGGGGATGCGAGGGCAAGGTAAGGAGAAAAGGTCTTTTGCCTTTTTAGTCTACTTGCTGTGCTTAGAACTTCCTGGGGTGGGGGGTGGAGAGGGAGAGCTACTTGGACTCGGAGTAGGACCAGAAGTAGGTCAAAGGGAGGGCTGCAACTCAGGGCCTATCTCTGTCAGGAAGCCTGACTGGGAATCTACCTTTTAATTTTATTTTGCTGTTGTGAGAAATCTTTGACATCACTTAAGTGGTTTAGAATAGTGGTTCTCAAAGCGTGATCTGGGGACCCCTCAGAGTTCCCAAAACCTTTTCAGGGGTCTATGAAGTAAAAACTCATTTCATAACAATATTAAGAGGTTATTTGCCTTTTTCACTCTCATTCTTTCATGAATGTACAGTGGAATTTTCTAGAGGCTACACAAAATGTGGAATTGCAACAGAGATGAGAATCCAGCCATCTCTAATGAAGATGGACATTAAAGAGACTTGCAAAAATGTGAAACAATGCCACTCTTCTCACTAGTTTATTTTGTTTTGGAAAATATATTTATAAATAGATATTTACGTTAATATATACTTAGCTTATTACTTTTCAGTAAGTTTACAAATATTTTTAAAATTCTCAGTTTTAATTTCCAATCTGGTAACTATAGATAGCTAAAAACCATATGAGCAAAGCTTTTGAGGTCTTCAATAATTTTTAAGATTTGAAAGGGGTCCTGAGACCAAGATCGTTGAGAACAGATGGGTTAGAAACAGCTAGATGCTCAACAGAGCTTCATTCTCTAAAACTGTACTGTGTAAATAGTTCTATACAATGGAATCAGTCTTCCTGTGTAAATAGTTCTATACAATGGAATCAGTGAATCAGTGGTTGCTAAGAAGAGCCTCAGTCTCTCTGCAGTTACCTTCAGTTTGATCCTGAAAGAATCACCTTTCAACCTTAAATAAGGCAAGGCAAAGACCTGTCTGGTCTACTTGATGGGCCGCTCAGGCAAGACAAAGACCTGTCTGGTCTACTTGATGGGCCGCTCAGCATCCCCGGGGAATGAACGGCTCGAATCCCCTGGAGAAGGTCCAGAGCCTGTAGGCATGACTTTGGCTCTGCCTTCCAGGCAGCTCCTTTGCAAAGTCTAGTTTTGAAGAATGGTAGCTTACTTGAACTTTGTGGAAGTACCTTCAAAACTGGTCCACTGTGTAGGGCATCAATAAAAAACTACAAGCATTGGAATAATAGAGATGGGCACCTAGATGGGGTTGTTGAGTTTTTTTGTTTTTAAGTTGTATAATTTTTTTACATAGAAAGAAACAAGTGGCATTATAAAATAATAATGTGTAGTATGTTACTGCTCTATGATCTATAGAATAAAATGGCCACTAAAGAATTCAAGGTTCTGTTTTAAGACTCTTAACTGGGCCAAGAAGCAATGCCTATTAAAAATGGTCATTGGATACAGGGGGTGCCCCAACCTTTTCCAATGACCTTGAAAAGATGAATCTGGAATCATGGTGAGGTGGGAGTGTGAGGATGGCTCAGCAAAATTTCAACTATTGAACTGGTACAAAACCTTAACGTTTACTTCCTATTATTTTCCATGGTGTCAGTCATCTTCGAACAAGAACAGCATAACGGTTTGTCATTAGGGACTTTTCCCTTCCTCTCCTTCACACAAGGCCAGCCGTGAGGGGACAATTGTCAAGCGTGGCCTAAGAAAGCGCCTGGGGTGAGAGGGCCACAGAGCCAGGAAAAAGGACAGGGGAGCTTATTAGAAGCGCAAGTGCCAAAGCAAATACAGAACTGAATCCCGCTCGGGAGGGGAAATGAGAGTAAAATGCTGAAGTTTCTACAGAGGATACACGGAAACGCAGGAGGGCGGGTGAGAAGGGGGTGGGGGATGCAAGTAGTAATTTGAGGTTCTTTATATTCTATGGAAGAAAATAGTCATGAGTAATCTTTTCCCTAAATACAAGAAGAGGCACACACTCCAAACAGCCCTGCCGGTTAAGAACAACAGTTTCTCTTTTCACTTCCCATTAGTCTCTCCCACAGCCCAGCGCTGCCGCAAGCAGAGCCACCAGGCGGAAACCCCCTCACCAGGGACCTAAGTGAACGCTCTGGGCTTGTGAGCAACAGGAACCCAGTGAGTTACAGCGGGTCCAGGGAATGCAATGGAATCCGAGCAGGTTTCCAAAGGTGACCCGGACAGAGCAGGCTACCTGCTTGAGGCCACTCAATAAATTTATCAGAGTCACTACTCTTCCATCAGCCTAAAGAGATGGCAGACACCTTCAGTGAGCTGGAAAGAGGCTCGATAGACTTGGGTGTTCAAAGTCAAGCTTCACTGCCATTGCCTTTTTGGTTCAATAGAATAAAAAGGTTGTGGCCTCAGGATGTGCTTTGCAATTTTAACTGAGGACAAACAACCCCCATTTACTCAAACCTAGGGCCCCAAGGCTTGCCCACGGCTGGTCTAATGGAATACAGCCCTGGACCCAGAGGAAACTCTGGTCTAATCAGGGTCATTTCACTGAATTTATCTAGCACTTTAACACTATTCTAAGGAGTTTATAAATATTAGTTCATTTAATTGCATGCTCACAGCAACCCTATGAGACAGTGTTTCAGATTAGGGAACTGAGGCCCAGTGCCTTTAAGGTATTTGCCCAAGGTCATATGGCCATGGTAACAAGAGGAGTTGAGGTTCAAGCCCAGGCAGTCTGGTTTCAGTCTGTGCTCATATCCATTATGCTGACCCATGCATTTCCCATCCAGATTTAGATGGATTTTCAAGGCTATTAGGGATTCAGACAAGACTGAGTGAATTGAATCCTCCCCACCCAAGACTTTGATCTTTGGAGGCTTTCTCAAGTTATCAATGGACTAAAACAAGAGCAAAAGTATCTGTAGATCCCTGAAGAAATCCTAAGAAAAGGGTAATATGCAAATTAACTGTCACTCTGTCACAAAGATAGAGGCACCCATAGCCACAAGATGGCGGCGCCCAGGCCTCTCAGCCCCGCCGGAGTCCCCCAGTCCCGGGGGGTGGGGGGTGGTGGTGGTGGTGGTGGGGTTGGGTGGTGAGAGCGGGCAGCGTGAGCAGCCTGGCAGAATGCTTGCTTTGCCACCGCGGCAACAAGGCAAGCATTCCACCCTGGCCGCAGAGGGCCTCTGGGCAGTGGGCACGGAGCAGCCTGGGGGTCGGGAGGAAATGCTTGTGTTGTCACCCCAGCAACGAGGCAAGCGTCCCGTGCCCAGCCGCAGATGGGCCTCTGGACAGCGGAGAGCCTCTGGGCAGAGGGCGCGGAGCAGCCAGGCCCTGCAGAGAGCTACTGGCGCACGTATTCGTGCGCAGGGCTACGAGTAGATTTATAAGTGGGAAAAGGAAGAAGGAGGAGGTGGAACCCCACTTTGAACACAGCCAGGAACACAGCGCTGCCTTCCCCGGCTGCTCGCTCACAGGCACTCACTGCTCACAGGCACCAGTCCTGAGTCTTCACATGGCTCACAGAAGCCACATGGGCAAGATGAGGGAGGCATACCTAACACAGAACTCGTCTGACAGTTATCTCTTGCAACTTTAACTCAAAAAAGTTGAAAAACATAGTTTTTAATGATCATTGGTCAAAAGAAAAAGATAAAGGGCATCTGTAGATCCCTGAAGAAGTAGATTTCTAAGTGGGAAAAGGAAGAAGGTGGAGGTGGAACGCTGCTTCTATATTATGCTATTCCCTGTGCATATATAACAAGCTTGTGAGAGCCATATTAAGACTTGGATTTTTAATGCCAAATCATTGCAGAGTATACTTGAGATGAATTTTGTACAGAAGACATGAACTGCTATAATTAGGAAAATTACAAAGAATTCCACTGCAATTTTTCTCCCAAATGGGTCAAGTTAAGTTCACGGCGCCATACCCATCAGTAACATACCCAGGCCCTTAAACTTCCTGCTAATATTTCTTTGATTCCATGTTCAAAGGTGCAGCTATGTCCATCACCACATTCTTAGCATCATTTCAGATTTTCTGAGTTTAAACATAACTAACCCTAAAAAGTGTGCTGGGAGTCAGGAGCCTGGATTTTACTAACAGATTTGCCATTAATTAAGATATGACTCTGGGCAGGCCACAGATTTCATCTGTAAAACGGGGGGCTTAGAGTATGCGATCTCTATTCTCTTCTGGAATACAGTCAAGATGCTCCCATTTAATTTGAAACTTAAAATCCAAAGACTACAAGCAGCCCAGACCTTTTTCTTCCAGAAAATGACCCTGAGATTCTGTAACTTCCTCAAGGATCTCCTGAATCACGGAAAACAGATTAAGTTACTTTAAATGAGGTTAGTGCTTGAGAGTGCTTTATTGTATTCTAATTCTTGGAAAAGTTATAACCCAGGCAACGGCAATAATAAACATAACATTTTGACAAGGTGCTCTAACATGT